TGTAGAGTAAGATATAGTAAGATCAATACAATGTCTGCATGAAATTCAATCCGTACTACATGCATTACGGTCGCGTGCATTATTGATTCATTATTTATAAGCATACAATAAGATTTCCACAACAACTGAACAGAATGGAAGTTCTGCAGGCGTGTCTGTTGTATGGCACTGTATGGATAGAATTCATCAACTGGCCGGAGATCGCGGGGGCGCGGACGGGGGCGCGGACGGGGGCGCGGACGGGGGCGCGGGGGCGCGGGGTCGGCTCACAAGTTTTTGCCCCACGCACAGCAATATAAATCATCCGCCGATGATATCTGAGGCGCTGAAAAACTTGCGCAAACTTTTACAAGTCCCTACACAGGCGAGATTTGCAGGGAGACGCAGGGGGGGCGACGGGCGCGCGGGGCGGGGGTGAATGAGTTGAAAATTAATTCATTTGGCTGTTGTGTAAATACAGAAAAGCAAAGCGGCGGTAATGAGGGGGGACGGGAGGGGAGGGGGTGATAATCCTGCGAGCTGCGAGTGTGTACAGGAGACATGTTTGTAATGTAATTGTAAGGTTACTGGCGTGCCAGCCCGCGCCCGCGCCCGCGCCCGCGCCCGCGCTGTGGCACGTCGTAATTGCATCGTGAATTATAATCATAATGACTTTTGTGTTTTGATTCAACTCCCAAACGAATTACTTTACGTAGTTATTATTTTTTCTTATGAGTACGACACAGTTCGCCATAACGTATATACACTGTACCGTATCTAACAATACGCTAAGCCATAGCCGTAGTCCTCACTGGAATTTATAGTTTAAATGTTTCACACACACGACATGTCAGCCTGTCATTACACGTACTTACATATTCCGAGCGTCTTCCCGCGACAATATCGTGCGAGCTGTACATCGCGAACAAATCCCGGCTCAGCGGCGAGATGTGGGCTCACAGTCCTGCAGTCTGGTCACGTGGCGGCTACATCTCTGCTGATCCCGCATTACACATCGCGCGACATTACACCGTGCAGGATATTCCACTAGGTTAGTAATAGACGAACTGCAACTGTGTGGGGACGACGTACAGAACTCTGTGTGTGGTGTGTACCACTGCATAATGGTGTGGTTTCTACAAAAACATATTTAACCTCTTTACAAATAACTGTAGATGGCTTGTGGCGACACCTGGCACACGTCGAAATAATAGCTCGCGCACATGGACTATAGATGGAAGCAAATCAATGGATGACGTCATAAAACATCCTACATCGCAGTAGTTTACAGCTCCGACCAGGCACAATCACCTCGCCTGGTCGGAGGATCCTCCTTTCCGATCTTAGGGAACTTTACCCTTCTGTTCCCTAAAGGTTCATCCACTAATCACAGAAATAATCTGAACTTTCTTCTGCCAGCGGCTTCGCCTGACTCGGTCTTCTACTACAGACCATAATCTACTGTTCCAAATCTCATCCCGGTCCCTTCAGCCATTTTTATGTTTCTGAGTAACACAAATACACAAACACGCAAACTCACAAAGTCCCATTTATAATAGCGGTTCAATCTAATTTCGACCATCGGCCCTACAGTTACAGCGTAAAGTTACTTGTAACTGTGTCTAGTAGTTAGTTTATTTTCTGGTGTATATACTTTTTCGGGATATAATGATGCCCAGGATATTAAAGTACAATCATAGCAAGTTTCATTGCAACCGGGCCGGTACATTTTGCGTGATGCGTGAGCATACAGATAGAAGACAATTTTTTTTTTTTTGGTTTCGGGGTCTATCTAGTATTTTTTTTCTATGTACTTTACAGAATTTACACTACTGCAGAGTAATTATAATTATAATGTATTTCAGCACTGATACACTTACAACTGGTGTCTCTGTATGTGTGTGTGTCCAGCTGACGAGCAATATCCTTACATTAGACGCGTCCCGAGCGCTCCCCGCGCCGCGTGTCGACGAACATGAGATATTGTAGGAGTATGTTGTATTTAGAACACATTGACTATACCTCTATTGCCTGTACATTACAGTACGTATAGTAACTCAGTACGTGACAGTGCGCAGTCAGTCGTTACTTTGTTCACAAACTGTCCATTTGTCAAAAAAGTTGGTCAACATCTCAGCGACAGCTGGAGATGATGACAATTTGTCAGCTCCGGGGCTCTGCCGCACTGCCGCCGCTTCCAAGTTCTCGGTGAGAAGAACAAACACATGGAAGTTGGAAAATAAAAAAGCAATTAGACCATCTACACAATAATATCTTTAATTTTCTTTGTAGAATCAGATCATTTGTTTGCACTTATTATATGTTGTACTATCTTAACAGACAATGCAATAACTGGCCACACACACTATATATAAGTTCTCCGTATATTGCTAGTGTTATTCCGCACCCGTGCTACTACTGCTGCATACATGCCGCAATGGATAATGAATCTTACCAACCGCCTGACTGCTGCATTTTGTTGTCTTGAATAACATTTGTGTTTAATTGCTCACACTTAATTTTATTTACTTGGTAATGTTGTATTTTAAGTTTGTCAACAAAATGGTTCGTTTAGTTTGTATTTACTCTTCCTTCAGCTATAGCTGCTTCAGCTACATTGCTATAGCATATTATGTGTTCATACAGCAACTGTCCCCAGGTACAGTGAACATAGATGTTTGTGTGTGTATCACAGTATCGATACAACACAGGCTCAGTGCCGAGGTCTGACTCGGTACAATGTCTCGAGCCGGAGTCCGATAGCACGCGTCACTGCTTCCTTACGCACCCTCACTCAAATTAATTTTATTAAAACTCTTCCTTTCCAAGCTTAAGTGAACCGTATCTCCGTTAACGTAAGAGTGGCTTTACAGTACGCTAGCCTGGCTTGGCGGTGCCCTATACATGCAAAGTCAAAGTGGGACGATAAAATGAAAGTGTTCAATATTTTTTTATCATTTATTTTATCCGGTATACGATTTCCATAAACACATGGCGATGAATATATGGATTCTGTACATTCAATATCAAAGTAAATAATAAAATGTATATAATAAAATGTAAATATATATTATGATCTATTAACTTATGTTGGCACCGAGATGCGACACAGTAGTATCGAATGGACGCTAGACACGAAACTGAAGAGGACGAGCGACCGCGCGACCCGGGACCCGGGACCCGGGACCAACTACTGCGGGGCCCGCGGGGGCCCGCGTGTGGGCAGCCAGCGGGCTGCGCGGTGGAGGACGACAGGTGCGGGGCCGCGGGGCGCACTACCAGCGGGGGCCCACCGACGCCACTGCCTGGCAGGACAGTGGCTGAGGTAGGGCTCGGAGAAACATAACAAGCGACAAAAGAGAGAGTCACGAGGTCGTGAAGGAGACAAGGAGAGAGAGAGTGCGAGGGATGGAGACAGGATGTCCGAGAGAGTGACGAAAGACGACAGCCTACAAGAGAACAGGCGGCTACACGCGACAGTACGGCGGGAGCGGGACGCGAGGGTACTACGTAGCTTCTTACTAACTACATCGAACTCCGCATGGACGGATCATTATATCATCATCCAGGTACGAACGAAACAACATGTTTGTATTACGCGCACAGCGCGCCTCTATATTAATTACAATTACATTTACTTTCCAAAACTCATTTTCCAATTGACGATAAACGCTCAGACATACAAAAATACATCTCGCTACAGCTAACGAACTAACGACATACTGGTTAGTGTAATATCTCTGCGACACACGGACACACGGACACACGGACACCTCGGGCAGTGCGGACGCGGCCGCGCCTCTATATCACAGTGTGGCGGCAGCTAACGGAACTATAACATCGACGGACGACTCGCAACTAAACAACAAGGTAACGTATACACGCAGTCGTACGACCATACCAAACACAATGCGACCAACCTAACCGACCAACACCAACACCAACGCCAACCATTTCACCAACACTCCCTTACACTACGAGATTGTTGCAAAAACTGTGGTAGCAAATATTATTAGTATCTTGTTCATACAAAAACATCCGACCTAAACGGACGACTAAAATTGACATCGAAATTTACATGATTCAGTTTAAGCTATGATACACAGTATTTATTTATACTTTAAGAATTTGACATCTATATAAAATATATATTATTGCGTGTGCTGGGGGACGCGAGGAGTCGCGCCGCGCGCCGCGCCACCTCGCCTTGTGTGAGTTATTGCTAGACATGCCGCGCCCGCGCCCCCGCCCCCGCCCCGCGCCCCGCGCCCCGGCCGGCGCGGGCGCGGCGCGGCTCGTACGCGTCCCTGCAGCCAGCACACCGAACTAACTCTCACTTACATTACAAGTTATAATCTCATATCGTTTGGTGTTCACATTGCACTAGTAATTCACATTCCATTAACATACGAACATAACGTAATAATCGACAATATATTTATAATAATCAATATAAGAAAATCTATGTTAAATATTAAAAATATCAACAATTTGGCACATTCGATTCCTGTTTATAAATTACGTTAGAAAACAAGAGGATACAGGAAGGTGGAGAGAAGATACAACTCAGGAGACAAAGGTTAGGCCAACACGCGCGCACTGGCACCACTCCCATTCGGGGTGTGGCGCCAATGCGCGCGCACTACATACATACGAGTACAGACACGCTAGAGTAACCAATAATGTAATACAGTAGGTAGCTACGAAGACTAGAATAGGAGATAGACTGACAAGTCAGCTCGTCTTGGACGAGTAACAACACATTCACGAGAATGCTACAGTTTGTGACACTCACACTGATGACGTCACTAGTCACTGCACCTGGGTCCACCACACCCACACACTCGCACCTGGACATAGCCACTTCCAGTACACGCTACATTACTCAAACTCGCGCCTGCGCACTGTACGGTGACGTCGCTTGCTCTGCATTTCGGACTCCTTAGTGAAGGCTGATTGTCCAACTCTCCCATTGCAGTTGAATCCAAGGCGCAAGTGTCTAATCAGTTCACGGGAGGAAATCAGTGGAACATCCAGGCGACCGCCAGCAGCACCAGCAGTTGCAGGTGGCGTGCGTGCGTGTGCGCGGCCATGTTGTGCAGCGCGCGCACCGAGTGGCGCGCGGGCGCGGGGGAGGGGTGCGGCGCGCGGCGGGGGAACACCGCCACCGCGCCCGACCCCCCCGCCGCTGCCACGCACCACACCTCGTCCGGCTCCACCACGTGCAGCACGGCGCGCCAGCAGTGCTGCGCCAGGTCCGGCGACAGGGCCGCGGGCGCCGCGCCCCCGGCGCCCCCACCAGCGCCCCCGGCCCGTACCCACACCACGCGCACGTTGCGCCCGCACGCGCCGCACTCCAGGCGCCAGCCGCCGTTGGCGGGCTCGGCACTCAGCGCCGTCGCCGTGGCCCCGCCTGCGACAACCTGCCTGCACTCACTGCCTCACTGGACACACTCCACCACCACTGCGTCGCTACTTACCGGTCACTTTGAGCGTGACTCGCTTGAGCTCCCTCAGCCGCATGAGGTCAGGCGCGCGCGCCCCCACGCACCTGTACTCGCCTCCCTCCTGGTACAACGCGTCTTTGATACCTGTGATGAAAGTTATCGTTACGTCATTGTGTGACGCTATACCACAGGCACATCCGGTGTCTATGTAACTCCACTCACCCAGCACCCCGTGTGCATGGTGCGAGCCGGCCGGGGCCCAGTTCTCGCTGGAGTTGCCGACGACGCGCCGCCACCAGCAACCCACGCTCCCTGTACCAACAGCAAACACCGTCAAGTAGTCTGCTGACACTAGCAGCAGAGTACTCAGTAGACAGTTACGTCCTGAAGGTGTTTAAGTCACCATGGTGGACTCACCTTTAGGACAGTGTAGTTGCACGTTCCCGCCGAGTGGTACCTCCACCTTCTGGTGATCTAGTTCCTCGGGCTCCGCCTCCGGCTCGGTGGCAGTCTCCGTGTTCTCCTCGGCCGCTGCTGGCCAGTCACACACGTCATGTAGCAGAAAGGACTATAATATATATATACAGTAGCGCGGCAGTGGTGCAGGGGTAGTACTCACACATGACGTTGAGGTAGTACCCGATGGAGGAGTACTCCGTGTCGAGCCAGGTGGCGCGGCAGCGGTACCAGCCGGCGTGCGAGCCCCGCAGCGCGGCCCAACGCAGCGTGGCCGAGCCCCGCGCGCCCTCGTCGCCCGCCTCCAGCGGCGGCGGGGAACTACGCATACCACGCGTCTGTACTCACAGCGGCCTCAACTAACTTACTATATATATTCGCTGAGTATTCGAAACATTTAAATCGACAATGCATATTACGGTACGTGTGTGGGTATACCTGGTGGGGTTAGCGTCGTCTCTGAGCCACCAGGCGCGCGCGGGCGGGTTGGCGTCGACGTCACAGCGCAGCGCCGCGGCGCCGCCCGCAGACAGCGACACACCGAACCCGGGCCACCGCGAGATCACGAACGACGGTGGGTCTGTGACACACACCCACATGCTCTGTGTCAGACTACTCACACACCCACTCATGCTCAGCGCTAACTGTCGCCAAACACACTACTCCAGGTAGTCAAACATCGCATGGCAATAAATGTATTAGGAGCTGTTACTGCGCGCTCCCGCGGGACCGATCCCAGCCCACGAGCGACCGGAGACAGGGAGGCGTACTTCGGTTACTATGCCAGAACGTACATTTATTAGTTTATAACATGAGTCTTGTATCTGAAATGTTACAAGACTCATGTTATAATAAGTTTCGCTAAAGACATAATTATTTAATAAATCAGCCCAAAAATATTATTTTCAAAAAGTAGTATTGTGCGAACGTTAGCGTCTTATTTGTCTACCTACACAATAATCACCTTGTCACCTTGAAAACTCACATGTTACGTGTATCTCTAATTTGGCGCTGAGTAGGTGCGCAGGAGCAGCACTGGGACTGGCGGGGGCCGCGGGACTGCCGGGGCTGCCGGGGCTGCCGGGGCTGCCGGGGCTGCCGGGGCTGGTGGGCGGCGTGCGCTGGCGCGCGTCACACTGCAGCGTGGCGTTGTGCAGCTCGCGCGCTGCGGTCACCACCGCGTGCGACACCGACACGCCCTCTGTACACACATACACACTGTGACGTCACCGCAACACACTATATTATCTGTAAAAAGCTACGAGATAAACACGAGCCTGAAGTAGAAGAGACGTGCCTCTGCTAATTATACATTTCTTTATAAGTACTTTCTGACTGACTTCTCTTGATCTTCATTTTTTTATTTTATATATGTGTGGCGACACATGTCACAAATCAACGGATGACGTCACAAGAATCCTACATCGCGCATGCAAAGTTTACAGGCGAATAAACATGAATAGAAAAATCCAACGAACAACTGTTGGGCAGAAAGCCCGCCAGGCACGATCACCTCGCCTGGTCGGAGGATCCTCCTTTTCCGATCTTAGAGAACTATACTCTCTGTTCCCTAAATATACATATTTAGGGAAAGGTTTTCTTTAATTTTGGATTGATTAAGTACTATAAATTGTCAAATAGTTTGTGATTTGTTTAAACGTCAGTATTATAAGAATTTTGTTTTAAACCATTTGTGGAAGAATAAACATTAAATGCCGTTTCTTCATTTTAAAAAGCAACACATTAGTTTATTTAATTAAATCATAAGATTTAGTCTTATATAATACATTATTAATATTGACATCCATGATTATAATTAAACACGCGTGTGCGATTAGAGTTTATGATTCAATCATTACATTTGCCTCTGGGCAAAACATAGAGGATACCACCTATCTGTAACATCTCACACTTTGCTGTAAATATTCCCAATATTTATATATAAACTAGCTGTTGCCCGCGACTTCGTCCGCGTAGATTAATGACTTTTGACAGAATTAACCAGAATCAATTTAGTGCCCAAGTAAGATTTACCTATTTTGAAATGATTTATCGTAGTTTCAATAAATAAATAATCCCGCAGGGATCTTACCAGTACAATGCCCGATCACGTAAGGTTTGAGTAATAAAAACTATTCTATCGACTATTGTTGTACCGAATCTCTCTAGAATAAGTTCAGTGGTTAAGAGTTAGAGAGTCCTGGGGCATTGACGCATAGTTCCCGTTCTCGTGAGACATCTGTGAATAAACTATCATACGTTACCCAGGTCCCAAATCATCGTTTTACCGAATGTAATTCAAAAAGATTCAATGATTCTAAATTCAATGGCTAAGAAGATTTATACAAACTCTCATTCCCTATTTTATCCCCTTAGGGGTGGAATTTATCAAAATCCTTTCTAAGGAGATACCTATGTCATAGCAACTTTATGCATGCAAAGTCTCAGCGCGATCAATTTAAAACTGGCAAAGTATCATACAAACTTTCACCCCCTATTTTACCCACTTTGGGGTGAGAATGTTCAAAACCTTTCTAAAGGGACGTTTAAGTCATAATATCCATCTGCACGCCGAATTTCAACCCGATCGGTGTAAAACTGACAAAGCTTCATACAAACGTTCATCCCCTACATTACCCCATTGGAGGTGGAAATAATCAAAATCCTTACTTGGGGATGCTTACGTCATAACATCTACCTGCATGCCGAATTTCATCTGCATCGGTGTAAAACTGACAAAGCTTCATATACACTTTCACCCCCTATTTTACCCCCTTAGGGGTGGAAATGATCAAAATCCTTTCTTAGCGGATGCCTATGTGATAACATCTATCTGCATGTCAAATTTCCAACCGATCGATTTAAAACTGACAGTCTCATACAAACTTTCATCCCCTATTTTACCCCCTTGGGGGTGGAAATTATCAAAATCCTTTCAAAGCGGATGCTTACGTCATAACATCTATCTGCATGCAAAATTTCAACCCGATCGGTTTAAAACTGACAAAGTCTCATACAAACTTTCATCCCCTTTTTTACCCCCTTGGGGGTGGAAATTATCAAAATCCTTTCTTAGCGGATGCCTACGTCATAACATCTGTCTGTATTCCAAATTTTAGCCCAATCTGTCCAGCGGTTTGGGCTGTGCGTTGATAGATCACTATGTCAGTCAGTCAGTCAGTCAGTCAGTCAATCACCTTTGAATTTTATATATATAGATATAACAATATGTAGTAGAGCTGGTAATGTTTTGTAGTGCGCTCACCGATGGAGTAGTTGGTGTGGTGTATGCGCAGGTAGGGGCGGTGGTCCAGCGCCGGCTCCAGCGCCAGCAGCCGCCACGACAGCTCGGGCGGGGGCACGCCGCCTGGACAGCACCCACGTCAATACTACTGCACGGTACATAATATACTACTAGCGATGAAGGAAGAGGTGGGTACCTTCAGCCACGCAGCGCACCTCCAGCTCAGTCTTATCTCTGACGGGCACCCAGGTGTTGCCCGCGTCCAGGCGCCGCCCGTCCACCGCCAGGTACACCGCGCGCACCGGTTCTGTACACTCCACACTGTTACAGCACTTGCCGACGCCGCTAGCGCTCGCCTCGTGTAGCTGTGTGCATCACTCACCATATATGAGCAGCTTGGTGGGTTTGCCGGAGACGGTCTTCCCCGAGTGGTCGCTGTACAGACACCGCCAGGCGGCGGCGTCCCCGCGCGTGGCGCGCCCCACTATGAGCGCGCCCCCGTCCCGCCACACGCCCTCGCCCCCCGCGGGCGCGCCCCCGCCTCGCGCTGCCACTGGCTCCCCGTCCTTGTACCAGCGCACGTCACTACCGTTGCTGACGTCACACTCGATGCGCGCGCGCGCATGCGCCTCCACCAGCAGCTCGCGCTCGTACTTCGGCACCTGCACCATACCTCAGATTATCATATCACCAGCTTTGTAATAATAATATGATGACGTTTGACTAGAAAGACCAAAAATAGAAGATAGTAGTCTGCGGTTTCTACCTGATGCGGTATGTGTGGCGCGGGCTGGTCGTGCTGCGGCTTGCGCTGCTGTTGCGCCTGCGCGGGACGGATGACGAATGTGTCAAGGCGCGAGGAGGCGCGCGGGCCCGGCGCTGCGCCCGCGTCACCGATAGCGTCCCGCACCGCGCCGCGGATGTTCAGGATCGTGTCGCCTGTCTTCACGCGTCGCTCCGGCACGTGAGTCTGTACCAAAGCATTATGCATAAAAACTCGGCTCTTCATACTGTGCCGAATTTTTGGCATTGATGCTACCGTATACACAAACAAGCCAAGTTGAGCACTAAATGATAAACATAGGAACTGCCCACAATCTGTGCCACAATACGTTGACCAACGTGATAAGTCATAAGTCTACGCTATAACTACTGCACTCACTTTGGGCGCTCTCTCCCAGTCCTGAGCACTAGCACGTTTGCTCCTGGCGTCGCCCGTATGTTCTGTATCGATGCAAGGAGTGCTGGTGTCGGTGGCGCTGGTCGTGTCAGTCGTGTCGAACGCGTCGTCCCGCAGCACGGGGTAGAGCGGCGCGTCTCGCACGACGTCGACCGCCTCGACCGACGCGGCCGACGCTCGCTCCGAGCTCGACCATGAGGTTGCGCGGGACAAGGGTAAGCCTGTGGAGCAGAGCATACAACTCGTACCTCGAACGACGCGGCCACGCGGGTACTGTACTGGGCTCCGCCTTACACAACATGTTGGGCAAATAGCAGACAGGGAGCGCGGTGATCTGCATTACACAACAAACACATCGAACCTATCAACTTTCTTCTATTCAACTTTACTCTCGTACAGTCACTACAGCAGGCCGCGCACTGCGCGCTCGTGCAGTCACTACAGCACGCCGCGCACTGCGCGCTCGTCCCCTTCATTGTTGTATTTTGTTCGTTACAACAAACGCGCTAACGATTCGGATGGTTTAATACAAAAAGCCGGCAGATAAACGTGATGCATGGCCGTCCCAGTTACGGATGCTGAACGATTAATACTAACAGGAGAGATAGCGGGAGATGGGGGGAGGGGGAAGGGGGTGAAGTACAAAAACGAGTAATTATTCAGAACAAGGCCACAACAGTCGACACGCGGTCGGCTTGTCGATTGTATCGTACCCAACTGGGTATCAGGTACTATGCCGCGTACAGGGCGTACACTTATAAATTGAAATTACAAAGATGTGTTTATACGCTTAAGCAGAAACATACGTTTGTGTACAACATTCAGAAATAGAGCAACACACGTGTAGAACATTAGTGTTGCGTGTGTGTGCGTGGCGCGGCTAACGAGCGCGCACTCAGCGGACACTTGTCTCCGCCGCGCGGACATTAATTGCGACGACGTGCCACCTCTACATACATAGGTACCACTCTCCAGTAGGCCCGAGAGTCTCCTCGACGATTACGTCTAAGCGATGAAATGTTCGTTTTGTTGCTTACACACCACGAGGGATCACTCGGCGCGCACGTGACATTCAGCGCTGACAGCCCTGTTGCCACTCACACAAGATGTGAGTGCAGCTCTGTGATTGGTAACGTACTATTGCCCGAATACTGAAACGTTGCTCAATTTTAAGTCGCGCTTAAGCATAGTTCTTACAAATTCTTACAAATTCTTTGTAAGATGACAGAGACAGCATGATATTTAAGCACGTCTTAAAATTGAGTAACGTTTCAGTATTCCGGCATATAAAACGTAACTATGTATCTAGTTGTAGTTGTCTACGCCGTAGCCCGGACATCGGCTACGGCGTAGCAACGACTACGCGGTAGTCGCTTCTATGATTAAAGTAATCCGGGTACGCGAACCACAGGTGCCTGTTAATGTTAATTCACCGCCTTATTATTGTATTGATAGTTAATAACTATAATGTGAACGAGAATCGAAACGTTACTTATTTTTAGGCAGTAACGAGCAAATTATATTATTACAGTAAGAAATATTTGGTTGGTAGGTGTGATGTTGTGACGCGACATTGTTGCAGTCAGACGACACACACCGTGTGACGTCACAATGTACCCCGACGACAGTGGCGCCCCCTGTCTGCCGGCACACAATTAGCCCCGCTGCCTGCGAGCTTGAAAAGGCCGCGCTCTCGAGTCGCGTGTCGTTGGAGGACGCTTTGTGAAATGACTTGTTACACAAATTGTGCGACTGTTTTGTTGTTCATTCACTCGGCGCGGCCGACATGAGAGTTTTGTTTACAAACTTATCACTACTCACTATTTCTATTATTTACTATTTATACAACATTTTACCCACCCTTGAGCACTACATTTTGGAATGTACATAAATATATCAAAGCAATTATATCCCTGCAAGCACGAGTTACATCAAACAAAAACACAATATGCTGCCCCGTTAAAGTTGTGTACGGTGCAGGAGCGAGCGACGCCGCGCCTCATGTATAGTATTGATCGCAGCTCGCCTGCACATCCATCAATGTAACGCATGTGTCGCCCGCGCCGCCTGCCGGTGGAGCGGCATCACATATACACCGACCCATCGGTGTATGTGTACCAGAAATGTCTATTACTTTAGTCATATAAAAATTTGCCTAACAACAAGTGTAGGGTGACAGACAAGTCAAAGAAATTGAGAGTCGACATGGTCGAGTGTGGTTCCTCCTTCACATCCGTGTTAGTAATCTGGTGACGTCACGTCGCGGCACTGATCTCGATGTAATGTTAAATCTGTGCGTCTCTCTACAAACGCTGCGATATTAAAATTCTCGCCACGAACACATCCGACAGCACCCCCCCCTCCCCGCATTGTCGTACACTCCGGGAGGGGAACGGACGGACGACCGACATGCGCATCTATCTAAAGTAGTTTGATGTAATCTTGAGAGGTCACACACACACACAGCGAGACATATGTCCGAGTGTGTGTGTGTGTGTATATATATATGTAGCCCACACATTTTGCAACAGACCTCGCGCACTGATCAGCTGCTCTGTTGTGTACAGAGTCGTCCTATACCAACATAGCAACGTGGGATTAATATTGATGCAGTGCACTGCGTAAGATGGCACCTGTAACATCTTGGAGGTTCATCTTGCTTACCTGTTGATATATTCACAACAACCGAACAATCAGCCAGTGTACGCGTGTGTGTGTCACAGACAGTAATCACATGCGAGGGTCAAACATTAGTCGCCGAGGCAGGCGGCCGGCGGTGTAATTAGCGCTCCTTCATTAAAACTCAGCCATTCATGGACATGTGCCGCCATCTAGTGATGTACTTATGCCTCGATTATATACGATACACCACAGCTAGAGATTTCATCGTATCACACATGTGGCCCGTGCACCTGTGTGTATACCGCAGGCACCACAGCACCATCACATCGACTAATCACTTCACTATACAGAATTATTTACCAATGCAGTACCAGTGAATAGAATTAATAAAGTCACGTCTCAATTGCTTTCAATCACCCGCTCTTCAATGTCCTAAATGAAATCGCGCGGGTGTCGCGGCCGCATGACGTTAGCTAATCTATCATTAAATTCAATCTTTGTATTTCTAATGGCTGTCGTTATCATTGACCCCACAATAATTATACTCGTACTTGGATCTTAATCCCAATCTACATCATTGAGTGAAATCTTCGTATAGTAAACAAAGTCGTTAGTGTTTCTGTTTGTACCGGTGTGTGACGTCACCGCGCGGCGCTCTCTACCACCGCTAACTGTGTCAAACACGCACTTGACCGACACTGCACGGCACACATACATACACACACACACACACCGAGCACTGCTTGTATGGCTGTATGTCACCTCACTAGCAGCTGTCGCACGTTCAGATACAGTAGTGAATCGGTTGTCAATCAAGTCACCGTCCTCAATATCATACCGTAGTTACACGTGCGTCACCGAGTGTCTGTTTGTGAATGTTTGCCTGATTCGTCTGTTTCATCGTCCGTGGTAGACCGCGACATTAATGTATTTAGTAAATGTAGCAAGTGATGTTAATGTCTGCGGGAAATGTCGACATCTGCATAGTGATGAGACGTGAACACGAACAACACCAGCTAGTGACGTCACCGCCCTGCAGGTGTCGCTGTACCAAGTCGCTCGTCTTCACCCCAGCGACACCCCCCCCCCCCCCCCCTCGTAACGTGGAGTTATTTTAGCAGTTCCAACTGATTACCATTGATTATATTATCATCCCTCATTAGCGATACTTGTCTCACCTCTCAAACGACTATAAGGTCGACTCTGATCTGACGATAAACAAAAATAGCTGAACATACAAAAACAGGAGAATGTTTGTGATCATGTATTGTGAAAAAAATAAAGGAAGAACATAAGCGACTGTTTACACCACGTCAGTACCCAGAACATGAGCGACATAACAACTGCTCCATAGTTACACATCCACACGCTACGGCACATTATAGAAATATGTGACGTAGCAAGTGCTACGTCGTAGTACTACGCTTGTAGTGCTACGGCGTAGTACGCGAGAAAAGTTAACTATTCTACATGATATCTAGGATAACAAAAATATGGGCAGTGACGTAACTTGAGTAGAACTGTGAGAGTGCATGCTGCAGCCATGTATGTGTGTGTGTAGCAGTATATGGAGACAGTGGTAGCCTGCAGATCAATACGTATACGAGAGAGTTAAATGAGGCGCTCTCTGTGTACACTCTATACGCGCTCTGTACTTCTGTCCACTCGAGCACAGCTCTCTGCTGTGTCCTCCTTTAGACTGCTCAGCCTGGTAGTAGCGAGCTGATATTCTCCTGGCTCTATTGTGCTCTAGCTGATATTATTCAGGTAGAGACAATGTATGCATTGTCTACCGGGTGGAGAAGTTAATAATTGTGTTTAACCGATTATGTTCAGTCAATTACATGTAATCATAATCAAATTTAAATACTTTATTGCGTTCCAAAATGTTTGACAACGGTGCAACATTGGACAATACAGGTCATTGTGAGCCATTTCGGGCACAGCAAGGAAATATAATTATAAATTTAATACAAAAAATGTCAAATGATAAAATTACTTATTGCTATTCATTAACAAATTATTTTAACTATCTAATTTTCGCATTAATCCATTAAATATCTTGTCTGGCTCAACAAGTACAAATATATTTCGGAGTGTAACCGACTTATACAAGGAGGTTCACAGTATGACCTGTATGTATGTATGTATGTATGTATGTTTGTACGCGATTACCTCGCGATTGGCTGAACAGATTTTGATGTTTCGGTTTTCAGAAAAGGGTTTATTATACATGTAAGATGTTTTGTATAACGTGTGTGCGCAGCCTTATTACCAGCCTTGTGTTTGTCGCCTAACAGAAACGATAAGATAATACGAAGTGACGGTAGCCCGCGTTTTTTGTTTATGAAATGAAAAACCTCGGGTGGATTTATTACTTTAATATTTTCCGATTGTTTTAAAGTTCTATAGAAGTAAAGCTACAGTGCTTGTTCAACTGATTGTGTAATACAGTGTCGATCTACTGAAATGTTAGAATTAAAAACCTTTAATTGTCGATTTTTCTGTTTTAGGTTGGTATTGATAACATTAAAGTTTCTATTTTAGATAAATCAAAATTGTATGTTATTTGCTCCCGTATTCTCCTACATATCCTACACATATAGCAGAAGGTTTTAAAAGATTAATTCAGAGGGGTTTGAAGGCCAAGGAAATATTTCTCATTCTACGATTATATTATGATTGTATCTCATAATTATAATATTATATCAAATTTTAACCTATCTCAGCTCATAGACGCCTTCGCATTGTTTCGCACGTCGCCTGCCTCGACGAGAATCGACGGGTGTACCGCACGGCGGCGGGGACCATAAACTGCTGTAGTTATTGAGATCCCGAGCCCCAGCGCGTGTCGACATCGAGACGATGCGACCGAGCGAGCGCAGACACAGACAACTTGCAACCTTAACTTTATGCTATGGACGCACAAATGTGGATGTGTGTGTATTCCCCAGTCACAATAGTCACGGTCACCTATTGCTAACGACTAAATACCTCTGATGATGTCTTTAGAAATATTGCCACTAGAATCAACTTTTATTTTTGTTCCTAACAAACATAGAAGACAAGAAGTAGGCAATATTTGAAGAGACACATGCCACAGTACACATTATGTTAGCGGCGGCGGCAGTGAGCGGCCACTGCGGGTCGCGAGTACATCGCCTGCAGCGACGGAAGCGCTGTCACTTACAATGTTCGCGGCTACCAACGCGAAGATTACCCGTACGACGACCTCCGCGCCCCCGCGCCCCCCGCGCTCTATGCCTCGCGCCCCCGCGTCCCCGTCGAAGTTAAACTGATGTGGCATCAGCTCCGCGCTTCCGATCGCTTCTGTGAGCTGCCGGCACTCACACCTTCAGACACATATGCAGAAGGTCTGAGTTATCAAAATAAAATGGAACATTTTGAAAACTGACCAACCAGACCAACTGAAGCTAATGTTGATCACAGACATTCCAATATTTCTTTATCTATTCGGACGGTGTTAAACGATTTAAACATCGTCAAAATGAGTCATGGTTCAATTTGGTCGAATGTAGCACATACGAGAGCACGAGTCAAACCTTCTGTGTATATCTGTACAGTGGCCGCCGCGCGCCGCCGCTCGAGTATAAAGCCGCGGAGTCGCGATGTGCCGCCTCCTATGCTAATGCGAGCCTCGGGGAATACTTATGTTGCCTACTCCAAAATAGCGGAAATCTCAACGCCACGTTTTATCGCAAATCGTATTGAGCGCCGATCGATGGCGACCTCTTTATTTCAGCGGCTGAGTTAAGTCAATTCCGAGGGTACGTGATACTACCTGTGTATTAGTGTGTGTCCAGTACCGGGTACACATGTGTATGGCACAACACGTGTGTGTGTTGTACACAGACATGACAGTGAGAGTGTTATATTCTCTTCGCTCTGTGCTAAGTGCCGAGGGTAACCTGTGGTATTGTTAATAAACTGGCTGACTGAAACTCCAAATGAGATCTGTCTCATTTGGAGTTTCAGCGTTGTAACATGAGTGATGGAGCCTTACGGTGTCGAGAGTAATAGTCCTGACAAGAGGTGTGCAGTAGTTGGTCGCAAGTCACAATGAGCACTGCCAGTAGACGTACGACGTATCAGTCAGACAACCCCTGCATAAGACAATAAACCGAGTGTAAGTGCTCCCTCGCGGGGAAACAATAAATAGCGACACGAGCTCCATCTCCCAGGCTTACAGTAAATCTTTTATAATGAAATCTCTCCATTAATTTGATGGCAAGATATAACTCGGATTATACGATCGCGCCGCTCCAGTGCGCGCCCGGCCCCGCCTGTGTCCCTGCCGTACTTAGTTGCTAGGACTTACCAGCGAGGAAGGTGAAGTAGAGGAGTGTGTAGAGAAGGGTGCGCGTGCGCCGCACGGGGAGTGGGCGTGCAGCGCTCGGCCTATGAGCGTGCAGCATGCTGGGGGCGGGGGGAGCGAGCGAGACAGAAGGTCGGCGGCGAGCGCGACTCGCGCGCGGCTCTCATCTCCACGGACGTCGCATCTGCAACAAACCAACTGCTGCTTACTACATACTGCTGCAAGCGCAAGTGTATGTGTGTGTGTGTGTGTCTGTGTGTATGTGTACAGTATAGAGAGGTAGGCTCCCGTCTACAGTGTCGTCGTCCTCTTACATCTCTTCGCCACACTCAGAGATAAAGACCGGCGTGCATAGAACTGTAGGAAGCACTCATCGAGGGCACAGTCTGTTCCTGACATCCTCATCATAATCGATATGTTCTTCAATCGTTTTTTAAGGTTCGATGCGAGATGGATGTTTGGATGTTTGAATGTATGTCCGTCAATCACGCTGAAACTTTTGAACAGATTTTGATGACATTTGGTATACAGGCAGGGTATGGGCTGACTTTTACAGGTGATATAATACTTTTAATCCCGATTAAATGCTCCCATGGGATAAAACAGAAATACGCGGGCAAGGCCACGGGTAAAAGCTAGTACATTATAATAATATAGTTTACCACGTTTGATTACTTTTGCACGTTTAGTGTTAAACATTAATAGCTACTTATATCTGTCGGGCGAGGCAACTCAACTAGTTTCAAGGCACGTCAAGGGATGAGAACACATGAGAATAGTATAAGTTTTTATTACCTTATATCCTCGCATGTTTTTTATCTGATCAGACCAAAGAGCAAACATGAAACGTAGATTTACAGTAGTCACACACACACACACACACAGTGATTGTGTTAGTGCTGCACCTTCTGTAGAGTCTGCATCGTGTTGTCGTCTCTGAGCCACATCGGCCGGGATGCGGGGCGCGGGGAGCACGGCGGGGGGAGGGGGGGGATCGTATTTCTCGGGATCGAGTGGAAGGAAGTGTTTAGCGAGCTTCCTCCGCGCCGCGACTCCGGCGGCGGCGGGCAACAAACTACTACAGCGGGGGACGCACTGCGAGCACGACACTCACTCTACTTATTGATATCCACTCTCATATTGCTCTGTAGTACTGGGTCGCGTCACTCGCTTGACTCCTGAAGAGCAATAACGTCTCAGTGACTATAATCAATATTTGCAATAGAAACATTTAACTGATGAGGTATTTTTCTTTCTTTCTTTGCTGCGAAGGACTTAACATGATGCCGGGGCTCCAGCTCGAAGTGCGGAGGAATTTCTTTAGAGGGTTCGATTCCCGCCCGGAATTCCCGCATGTGTAATTGTGTATGTGAACTTGTACATAAACGCAGCCGCTACACAGGACATTGTGTATAGTCGGTACGACACAGAGTTCTGAAATATGCTATAGAGGTATGTTGCACGAGTACACTGATTTTTTTTATATTTGATGGGCCGACGTTTGACCTATCTCACGATTGCCACAGTGGCTGACATGTACATTATGGAACTAGAGTGTGTCCTGAGTCCGCCCCCCCCCCCCCACCACACACACACACACAACGAGCGTCTCCTGTACTCGCCACACTTTGCATCACACGAACACATTGTGTGCGAGGTCTGCACCTCGCCGACAGATCTGCAGTTTGCATCTCTCTGCACTGTTTTTTTTTAATGGGACGAGCTTGCAATTACCTTCATTACACGTATTGGATATACATTTCAGAACTCACACACAGGAACCATTTAGTTTTTAATAAAATTCCCGTGATTGGTTTCCCCCAGTTGTGCAATCTTTTTGTGCCTAAGCCTTGCAGTGGATTTAGAAGGTGACACCTGCAGCTAGTGGGCGCTCGACTCACATGTCAATTTGTTCTTAATTCTTCCACCATCAAACACACACGACTAGCAACCCCGGGGCTGACAGGGGCTCGGAGCGAAGGGGGGGGGGGGAGGAGGGAGAGGGGGCGGCACTTGCCATTGATAAATGTCAACAACAAACGCGCACAAGAAAAATTCCAGCAATAAGAAGTTGCGACAAGTACAGGGCGCGCCTCCAACACGAATATTACCAGTTTGTCGTTCTACTTCGACCAGTGTTATTTGTGAACAAAGTTTTGTTATATGTTTCACTCATCCCCAGGTGTAGATTCCTATGAAGCAGAACGAGCAAGAAACTCCATAGGTTACTCTTTTTCAATCAGGTTCACAATACAATTGTCTAGTTACATAGCTTTGTTGTTTGGATTGTGTTATTTCAACAGCCACGATAGGAGTTGTATAGTTTTGACAGTAAATCATTATTTAGATTTTATTGGATTGAAATTGCATTGACATTGAGATTGGTTTCAAGAGTAGTTAAGCACCTGTCGTCGAAATTGAACTAATGCCATTGCATTAGTATTGTGCATTCATAATCTGGACTAGTCTTTCTTATAATTCTTTAAAATTCCGCATCTATTTGGTTCACAACTACATACATACAAATAAATATTCCTATACATACCATTTTTTCTCTCCCCTCTCTTATTTAAGTTGTTGTTTTACCCCACAGATTTAGCCTAAGAATGACCGATCTGTTAACTATGTTTAAATACAAAACTACACTCCACACTAGGATGTTACCCCGTATCATGGTGAGTGCGTTTACTCATATTTAGGGAACAAGGTATAAGTTAAGAAACAAAAACATTCAGTCCACGGCTGGCGCCTACTCATCTATATTTCTAACTTGTACACAAAATATTGTCCATTGCGTGGATTGAATCCACAACATGTTGCTTTGTAGCCGGTCGCTTAACTAATGCACCAACAACCATGCAGCCGAGTTAGTATACAAGTCTGGCGAAGTAATACGTAGATCTTGTCGCCTCCATTACTTGTTCTTTTATAATTTGCGCAGTTCCCAAAGTATCGAGCATGAATGATACAGATAAAGTGAAAAATGCGCGACAGGTCTCTGCCTGTCCTCTGTCATTACTAGTATGATCCTATTGAATACGTAACTAACGAGGAACAACGCAGTGCCTTACATCAGGAGGAAACGCATGCAGTTGTAGATGAAGGCAACGCGAGGCTGTGTGACTGGAGGCCGAGTCAGTGCCACCATCACCTGGCCTCCACGGCACGTCGCGTGCACACGTCGCGCAGTGCTCACGGCACTTACCAGACAATCTACCGAGGCTGTCTGCTCCTTTATGGCTGACATAGTGGTCTCCGCTACAATACAGCAATGTTCAATGCACGCTGTTGTTATGCCGACGATGTGAGTCAGGGTCGCGAGCACCTCTCTGAATAACTTATGTTAATGACCCACGTGACACGTGACACTCGGTGCCACTGACACTGGCCGCGCGGCTGACACAGGGGGACGCGGCACAGCATCCACGGAGCTGACTGACCTGATCTCCAGCAACCAGCTCAGTAGATACACTTGCACTCTACTCATTCCATAAATATATCACTCAACTTTGCCTGCTAACTACTATTCCTGTCTTCCTTTTAAAGACAATATTTACTTTAATTTCAATCGTCAAACAAGAAAACAAAATACATAATTATAAATACTTCCGTCTGTCAATCGTTTACTAATGGCAATTAGTATCTTTACGAACTATACGTTGACTCACGCGAGAGCTGAACAACCTGACCTCAGCCTGACGGAGACAAAACTGACACAATGCTCAGCATCAAAGTGTCGTTCCTATTGGAAGTACTGAAGGGAGATCAGTCCGGGACAAGTGTTGGAAACTAGCGCACGACACTTCCAGCAAGTAGTAACAGACGTGGATCGTGTGGTGGGTGTGCTGTGGCGTGTGTTGTATCACTGGAGCACCGTGTTGTCGTCGGAGCACACTCACCGAGTCGGGACACGAAGTCGCACAACACTATCACTCACACGCGACACGTCCTCCCTGATCGGGCGCCGCGACCAACTGCTGCCCCGCGTGCCGACCCCTGCCACCCTGCGCCCCCGCTGCCCCGCGCCCCCGCACTCCCACCCCCTTGACAAGCCACGCAACGCACAAAGAGGGGATCAGCCGCTCCCGATACCGACGATATTCATCCGACAACTGGCGACACCATCGATATGCAACATGCGATCTCTAACGCCACGGACAGAAAACTTGACAAACAGAGCGTTGATGTGTGAGCAACTAGTTGAGCACCCTGTGTATGGTGCACCACGTGACGTAATGAGCGTGAACATCGACACACACATCGACACACACATAGACAGGCTGCATCATTGTCCTGTACAGTAGACTCGCGACCTCTGTCCAGGGCCACGCACTTCAAAACTCTTTGGATACGCTTAATAAGGACATTGAATAAATTGATACACTTACAAACTTCTGACTACTTTTCTCGTGTTATGTCAATTTCCATGATTTACTGAGAATTTCAAAAAGCAAGAAAACACTAGGAGACTCGTCCTCAACAGTCGTTAGCGACTGATGTACCAACAACATGGTACAACAGTACAGCAGACATGGTCCACTATGTTCGGTACTCCACGGACGTCCGGAGCTGTCACCGCAGCAGTGTCACATTCAGGGCCAAGTGTACTCCGCAGAGATGATGTCAGTGACGTAACGATGTACATACATTAGAGACGGTCAGGCGCGGCCATGCAAGTGTACCTGTGTATGAATGCTCGCTGCTTTGTGATGCTAATACAGTCCATGTATAAAGGCGCGCGCGGCGTACACTGACCACTCACTGACCAGTCACTGCCACTCCCTGCCACTCACTGCCGCCATGTGGCGCCCCCTGCACGTGCTGCTACTGCTGCCCGCGCTGCTGCTGCTCGTGAGTGTCGCGCTGCAGCCTGGCTGCAGCTCGTGCTGTACTCGTTGTGGTTGCGTCAACTGCTACTTTAATTAACAATTCAGAGATTCGGCTGTCCAATCAGGACAGCCTAAACATAATTTTCGTCTTAAGTACAATTTTACGAAAACGAAACGGTATCTCGAGATATTTCCATAATGAAGCGTAATGTCTCAGTACCACGTGTGTGTGCGCGCCGCGGTGGAGGTGCGAGGGCATCGCTTTACATATGAATGCGCGGCCACAGCTCGCCGCTCTTGACCTACATCAATACTTTGTAATTAACGAGCACTTATTTCTTATGTATAGTAGCATCTGTGTGTCAAACATTAAATTTTCGATTTCGATCCCACCGGCCAGTCTGTGTAACTGGACAAGCCGAGAAGTCAACCTATTCAGGAGATGCACAAGTGTGTGCGGAAACACACATGCATTCTCCGTTAATTTCCTCCACAACAGCGGTTGTTTAGTGTTCCCAATGAGCAGTACTTACAAGGAATGTTGGTTACATGTACTGGTGTGACGTCACGTGTTGCTTGTCCGCAGTGGAGCGGCTGCAGCGAGGCCGCGCCCTTCCTCAACCTGCTCGGCCTGCTCGCCAGGTGCGTACAGAGCTCAACTACAACAACTGGCCGAAATATTTCATGTACATACATACTATCGTAATATTGAGTTACATAAATAAATTACATTCTGTGCAGTGGCAGCACTAACAGCTCGAGCCTGCTGGAGACGCTGCTACTGTCGCACCTGCAGAAGAAGATCACCGCGCTCAACGTGCTCGAGGACTTCATCGCCATCGCCGCCAACATCACCGGTAACTACCCGTCGCCCAGACCCCCCCTCCCCCTCCACCAGTGTTCCCCTCGCCTTGCTAACATTATGTCCTGTTACACGTACAGGGTGAGAGCCTGCACGCTCCGCCGCCAGCCGCCAGCCGCCGGCCGCCAGCCACTGCCGACTTGTAATGTATTGTACGACTACAATGGTCCAGTTATTGATGTGATATTATGTTTTGTAATCAATAAACACTTAGTTTTTACTGATCACCTTGTTTCTCTTTTGTGAACTTAATACCGAATTAAAACACATAGATATCTTGTATTCCCAGTCCACGTAGTTTTAGGAAAAGCTATCTAGTGCTCCCAAAGGAAGTACACGCTACTGTCTCTGTCGTACACTCGTACCTTCCACTCACTCACTGGAAATAGCTTTGTTTTGGATTTTTGAATACGTTTGTTATAAAGTAAAATAAAATAAACTGTTGTTACTCCGTACAAGGCCACACAGAAGCAGAACAAATATAAAGACTAGGACATACGTACAGTATGGGAACTGAGTGTTTGTCAGGACATGGAGGACCCTCCGACCGCCACGAGGTGACGCCTGCGAGCTATTGACAAGTAGTTAATTGTAGTTGGGATTTACTAGCAGCGTTACAACGTGGGCAAACTTTACATTCATGTCTGCATGACATAAAATTCATGACGTCATCAGTCATTGGCGGAATATGTACAACTTCTGCTCGCGTTTAAAAAAGTTGATGAACTAACGACCAGAAAGTAATTCATGGTAGTATTGACTCTTACCAACAACATCTTGCCACAAGCGCGCGCTCATTGTACATCTTCACGTGACGTTGCATCATCCTATAGTTGATGCTGCGGGATATCAATATAATATACATTCTAGTGGTACCTCCTCAGAGGCGGTATATTCACTCCCATTACAGGGGACTTATAACATTACCGATGCAAACTGTCGCTACATTGTGTACCTACGTATATTACACTTCTACTTACTCCTTCAGGGATTAAAAGGCGTGACGTGAAGACCAAACGAACCACCTAACTTACTTACTTACTACCAGCTTGCCAGGGAATCTTCTAGGGGCACTTGAATCCCCAACAATCCTCAAATTCCTAATCCCAAAAGGCCGGCAACGCACTTGTAACGCCTCTGGTGTTCCAGGTGTCCATGGGCGACGCCGATTGCTTACAATCAGGTGATCCGTCTGCCCGTTTACCGGCTTATACCATAAAAAAAGAAGAGATAGGCAAACGTGCACATTACGGCACTTAATGCCACTGTACAATGTAACACCCACTTTTCACTATTTATGTTATGAGTCTCATATAATTGGGGGTGAGCCTATTACCATATGCCCGGCACAATTCTAGAGCCAGTGATACCACTGAGAATTTTATTTTAAAAACCGAGTAATACTTTGTTCCACGCGGGAATCAAACTCGAGACCCCTTGCACGGCAGTCACACTTGCGACCACTCGGCCAACGAGGCAGAGTGAGTGTGTAGTGGAGACGAGAGTTGTGGTCCCTACTCAACATGTTTCGAGTAACGAGTTACACGTCATGCAACTGGTCCCAGTGGTCAAATCAATCGTTACAGGCTGCAGAAACTGTAAATACTAATATCTGGGAAAGTATGTTATACTAGCTCTTGCCCGCGACTTCGTCCGTGTAGAATTTGGTAGAACTTTTGGTAGAATTTGGGTCTTTGAATCCATCTTTTCCAAGGTATACTCTGCGGCTGCAACAAATGCCATTAGAATCGATTCAGTGCCCAAGTTAGATTTATTGTGAAATTAATTAATTATCGTGGTTTCAAAAAATAAATAATTCCGCAGGGGTTTTACCAGTACAGAGCCCGGAACCGTAACGTTGTAGTGATAACGCGGTTTGTTTGTCCGTGAGTCACTTAAGGGGCTAGTAGACTACCAGTGCAATGCCCAGTCTTACACATGCTGAACTGGTCCCATTAGACTGGACATGAACATGTGCCCATCAGTAGTTACAAACTAAACTAACATTACAATCTGTATATTATGTCACTTGTTTCAGCGTGTGAAATTAAGTTTTTCTTCCTTCCGCTAAAAACTATTCTATCGACTATTGTTGTACTGAATTTCTCTAAAAAAAGTTCAGTTACTTAAAGGTCGAGAGTCCCGGGGGTTTAAAATATAGTTACCGTTCTCGTGATATTTCCGCGATAAAAACCATCATCCACGTTTCTCAGGTCTCAAACTATCGTGTTACCGAATTTAATTCTATGGTTCAAAACATAAAAAGTTCCGGGGATTTTGACGCATACTTTCCGTGGGACATAATAAAAGTTGTAATGACCTGGGTTCAAGTAACTGGGTAATGAAGGATTAAACAGCGGCAATAGGTACATAAAATTTATCCAACACTGACAATTATTGTCGGTTCATAAGACTATGACGTTTTGTGATTAAATCACTGGAAAACACTTAAAAAAAAAACAAAAAGAAATACATAAAACCTAAATAGAACAGTTAAATAAGAATAAAGAAATAAATGAAATATAACGGTTCAAAGCCGAGTTGAACCGTGTCGCCACATACGTTGCTACACCCCGAGACCAACTGGTTACTTGAGAACAGTGGTGAATATGTTGATCTGTAGGCGTCGAGATCAACTGGCGTAATGGAAATTGAATTACGGTCCTAAATGTTTCTCCCAAATAATTAAGATACGCCCTTAATTGAGCCCGCAAGCTGAGGACAATGTAAAAACAATCAGCCTCGTAAAATATTGCCGATGATCTAATGTACACTTACGTAAAGTAAACGCAAACACTTACCCCGTTACTGCCCCCACACTCACTTGTCACTGGCAACAATACTTATATAATTATGTATTTACCATTCATTACACATTACTGAACAATTATGGCTTTGGATTACTGTAATTATGTAAATTAAATGAAGAGCAACCGTTAGCTGTCTAATTTCCCTTTTATAATTCTCATCTGTCAGATTTATTTTTATTTTCTTTTACTGCCACCCTCACTTGACCTTGATAAATATCTGATCTATAATTATTATTGTGGCTATCCTAGTAACGCCATCTAGTAATGCACTTACGAACCAAATATCGATCATTACAAAGTCTACGTTTTTTGAGTCTCACAATATGTCTGGGCCTCATTTAAACTGATCCAGTGGTTTATAAGACTGGTTTAGTTTCTAAATCTATTGTCGACATTTAAAACTAATTGTTATGTTTACCTCAATTTATTCGTTTCCCTAAGGTACTAATACGTTCAAACTATTACATTTACATTATCGGCGCAAGATTCTTTAAAAGCCTCAGTACGTGAATGAAACAAAAGTACTTCAGAGTGAGACAATTTATTTGTGTCAAAGCAAACAACCTAACGTTTTGCAGGGAACGAAACCATAGCTTGCTTCTTTTTAATCGGCCAACGCCATCTATCGAGCTATGGGACATAACAATAAATAGTAGTATGGCGTTGGAAGAGTACATCTTTCAGAAAGATTATTTCTACACTGAACACCTATCATCCCCTATTTTATCCCCTTAGGGGGTGGAATTTATCAAAATCCTTTCTTAGCGGATGCATACGTCATAACATTTACCCACCTGTATACCAAATTTCAACCCCATCCGTTTAGTGGTTTAGGTTGTGCGTTGATAGATCACTATGACAGTCAGTCAGCGAGTCAGTCAGTCAGTCACCAATGGGGAGCAGTCTACAAGCAAATGAACCGAGGACTTCGCCGGAGTCAGTTAGTGTGAGCACCTGGAGTCGCACAGGTGATGAGGTGAGTGGTGTGTGACGTCACTGCGGCGGGAGTCATGTGCAGCATCTAGCGAAGTGTCACGTGCCGCGGCGCGACCTAGTACTGTGTGTGCTGGTGCATTGTGATGGAAATGCAGGCGCAGTATACATACAGGCGCGCGGCCTGCACCGGCCAGTCGCCGTCAAGTCCTGCCAGTGGCCACCAGTCACTGCCACTCCCTGCCACTCACTGCCGCCATGTGGCGCCCCCTGCACGTGCTGCTACTGCTGCCCGCGCTGCTGCTGCTCGTGAGTGCTGGCGGTTATTATACCGTAGTACAGGACTATGTGTGTCATATATCTGACGTGTGCTATTGATCCGCAGTGGAGTACCTCGGCGGAGGCGGGCCCACTGTTCGAGTCACTGAGTCTCCTTCCGAGGTAAGGCACCGGTTATACAACTAACATTTTTTACTTTTTTGGTGATAGTAGGTAAACAAACAGACGTAACACCAGTTGAATGTCAAGTGCGACACCTGCCTCAGAACAGAGTGCGCTCTTTACTTGAACGTTCGCTGTGCGAGGCAGAACGTTCCGTGAAAAGCGTTTTCTTACGAAGGTTGTGGTGACAGGCTGACGGGACACAGTGTTACATCATCAGGTTTATTCAATCCGATACTTATCCTGAAAAGTCAAATCTTGATTGTGTCAAGTCAAGATTCGTTCGTGGTACATACATGAGTACGTCTAAATATTGTAATTCGTATGATAATGACGAACCCTGTTACGTCCACCACAAGTACAAAATGTTTCACGGTTTATAGTAAATTATGCATAATAATATAATAGCCGTGTGCGTGTGTGTGTAGTGCTGGCAACGTGTCGGAGCACCTGCAGCACCAGCTGGCCGCGCTGGACCTGCTCGCCGGCCTCGCCAGCCTCGCCGCCGACACCGCCGGCGCCGGTCAGTCACGTTTGAGGATTACGTAACGTCAACGCGTCGTTGTGTAGTCCTTCTAGGACAAGAGTCACAGAGAATGATTGTTCTGTACGTATGGGAACCCAGCTGGTTGGCCAGCCACTGCGACAACTGACATCACAAATACTAAATTATTCAATTATGTCAAAGTCAAAGCATTTATTTCAATTAAACCATCATTTGGTACTTTTGAAACATCAACAAATACTAAATAAATAATTGTCCGTCAGTGTAGATTTATAGATTCGAATGAAGAAGAAGGAACGAACGAGCTAGAAACTCCATTCGTTACTCTTTTAAAAAAAGTATGTTCTACAATGGCTCTGATACATATTCCAATACTGTACGTATATGTGAGAACAATGCAAAGACACGCTTGACGCATTATACTAATTACAAAACTTACTAAAATAAAAAAACAAAACAAAAAAATCTTGTAGTCTAACATGATGCTCACACATGCATACCGACAATCCATAAAAACTGCTTCTATACAAGGAAAAGGGAACACTGTTTCAATAAAGACACAAATGCTCGATGCCACAAGGAAACTAGATTGTCTACATTAGAATGAAAGTATTAAATTACCTACTATTGGAATCAGAGTAACTACTGACTACATTTGAGTATTGTCCAGTGGAGTGGCCATTATTGAACAGAGGCCATTATTTTGAGGAGCCATGAAAAGTTCCGTTTTAACTAGCTCCCAATCGAGCTATTTCATTTGAAATCAATATAGAAGTAACTGTAGATTATATATTGCATGGTTATCAACACTAAGAGTGTGTACCGAACATCAAATCGATCTGTCGTTAGGAACGGGGTAATATTTAATTACCTAAACAATAAATGAGGCAAACTAAACAGATTTTTTATAAATAAAAAAAAGAAAAAATTGCAAAAAAAATTAAAATTATACAAATATAGGATCAAATAGACCAAAATTAAATAGTCAATGTAAAGAAAATAGCAAGATAATGACACAACTGAAAATTGAGTAGCACGTCAGTATTTGAGTAGTAAGAATAAAACATGTATTGTGATGATATAGTTATGATAACAGACATTTTGTTTTAATCACACTAGTAAGAACAAAATAAAAATATTTAGCTCTCTAGGCAGTTCATAATACTTTACAAACATATGATAATAATAATTAATAGGTACCATCGACAACCATTAGAACTGCTATAAAAATATAAGCTTGTTGTGTTCCAGGCTAACAGCACTTAGTGGACAGGTGTACCTGCGGGCGGGCGCGTGACTCGGCGTGACACGCGGCAGCGCCAACTTGATGAAGCTACACCTGCACTAGTCCACGCCATGCTGCGCGCTGCACCCCCATTCAGCAACATAGTCACATGTGCTCGCCAGCAATAATACGTGTTACGTAATTACATAACTATTATACATAATCGAGACTTTTATTTTATAATAATACTAGCGACCCGCCCCGGCTTCGCACGGGTCCAATATGCATGTATTTTTACATTAACATCTAACCATACATAGGGACAGACAGACGGCGGATAGCGACTTTGTTTTGTACTATGTAGTGATTTTAAAAACTACTTGGTTCATTGATATTTAATTTGTATAGTCAGATTATTTGTCTAAAACATTCTGTCCGAGATGTTTCAAAATGACAGCTGTCAGAATTACATGATTCAAAATGACATTTGGTCAAAACTAAATCTATCAAATGTCAAAATGACATCTATCAAAGTCAAAATAACATGTATAAAGTGTCAATTTTAACGTTGAAATTATATCTGTCAAATGGCAAAACGACATCTGTCAAATTCTCAGAAAGAGACACAAACTGCTAAGTTCCGTGACAACGTCTTCACTCCGTGGTCGGGGGCGACTCGAACTGAAGTGAGCTCCGCCGAGTGCAACTCCGACGCCACGACTCTGCCTAAGGGCACTGGAAATCCGCTAGGTGGCGCACTTCATTTCGCGTCCATACTCATGGCCGGTTCCGACACGGCCATCCTGCATGACACACGTCCTTGTGTTAATCTGAAACAAAAACGAAAAACAGCCCAATCTGCGTTCGGCCAATCCTGACAATACTTTAGCTATTCACAAACTATAAAAACTGGTTCACTGAGACCGCGTACCCTTGAGTAGATAGCGAAAATCACTTAAAATCAACCAATTCAATTTCAACAAGCATCAAAACTTTCGTGGTCAGAGCCATTGCATGCAATAGCTCCAACTGACACACATCCATCCTCAAGGGAAGCCCGAGTCGACTCCTGACTCCTATCCTACCCCTGACATCTGTGCTACAAGGCAAGATCCGACTGTACCACCCAGAATTACCGCCTACTGCCTACCCTCGGTCTACTCAGAAAGTAGATGCCGATTTCTACTAGGTTAGGGCTACGGCATTCTGGTACAGTCTCTGACTCAGCGAATTATAAACTTGTGCAAGTAATTAAGTAAATGCTACTTCATCATCCATCTCATCATCGACAATCTCAATCAGTATTTGGTCCTCAGGCATCCAATACGATCATGCGCATACTTGGAGGTACGCTTATTAATTAATGATTTCAAAACATATCGGACACCGACATCTTTGGCTCGCTAAGCTAACAGTACTCTGTTAGCTTTCTAATTACAGCAATTCAATAATCAATTCAAAAGGCTTTCTAATTACAGCTCTAATTTCATTCGATTAAGCTCTTCGTTTTATTTTTACCAAACTATTATTACTGATAAAAATCAAAGAAAATCAATATTCAAAACATGTATGTTTTACTAAATTCAAAGCGAAAAAGACATCAAACTTTTAACCGCAACATGAGATTTATCGAATAACGAAATTTACATCCCTAATAGCCAGACTCACGCATCACAACCGTTCCAAAAACTACTCAGTACAACTCTAGAAACTCCCGAGTAAGACACTTAGTGCCCCCCTCCCCTATTTTTACTTTACTCATTACCACAAACAGAACAAATAAATAACACCAAAATTATTATTTTACTACAACGTTTCAGTAGCAAAACCAATAACAGAAAACTTCTAGAGAAATTGACGTTTCACAATGACGGCATCTCACAAGGAAATTATTCTCCCAAGCAACTCAAAGCATTTAAACTTTACAAGTGATCACGGCTGTGCATAGCCCTGTAACTCACAGCTACTCTTTTCTAACGCGAACCTTACAGGACACAAGAGAACGTGAACAAGAGAGACAAGAAACATCTATCTACGGAGTATTCTGGAGGATCGAATCAGAGACAAGATAATCTGACAGATAACCAAACATTTAATCTTACAAAATGAACCTGCATAAACTCAGACGATACTAAATAACGTCACACAGACCATTTGCCACTCAAGCAATTCACCACACAGGCGCTTTGCCACACAGGCGATTTGCCACATGATCCTCATGAATGCGGTCTGGTGTGTGAAGACCCATAGCTACATGTTCCTCATTGGTGCGGTCCGAGTACGAGGGCAGGAATATGATGTAAGAAGTGTGGGTATGTGAGTGTGACTGTGTGAGTTATAGGTGTAGAGTGCAACTCATGACATTGACACTTTAAAAAATTCTCGAGGAACCTGGTGATTAGTGGTGATCAGATATTCTTCTCATCCTTTGTCCTCAGATCTACTGTATTTCTATTTCATCTGTTACAATTAGATTGCTCGACATTTTATGTAACTTATAGGCGCTGCGATAGACGGATAGACATTTTTAAAGACGCACTATAATAATGAGATGCGGAGTCTCGTTACTCCGCGTTTTCTCTATTAGACAAAACCCAACTTCACTACATTTGGAATAACCACCGAACACCCTATCTACCCACTACAACGCACTTAGCGAAAACATGTGTTAAGGTATCTTTAAATCAAAATCAAAAGAAATGATCAACAGCCATCAAGATTTTCAAGGTAACCACAATTTTTACATTAAGTTTCACCAAGTGCGGATAGTCACTCGCAAGTACCCCAGAGTCACAGTCAGCCACGACTGCAGTTTCATTATATAGACTCGAGTCCCTGCCCCAGTAACGACTACGACTAGCACACACGGTGCAGTAAAAAATTCAGAAGTTTCACCCTTACATGTACCAACTCACTACTGAAAGACCCTAATTATAACAAATCCTAAAGGAAAGATCAAGGGAAGAATGTTTATCAACAGAGTATTCTTAGAGCTTCAACTATTTTCCAACCCAACAATAATCGTAAAGGAACGTAGGACTTTAGAGGACTCTTCAATTCTGACTTTAACTACCAATACTTAGCAGCTTTTGACCTTTAATTGTTATAAACTACTTTTCTCAATACTCTATACCGCGTTAGACAGTAAGCACCACTTCATTCTGCATCTACCTCGCGAAAACCATACCTCCAAGTACCAACCAAATGAAAGCCTAAGACTACTTGAGATATTACCTAACAATATACAACACAAAATAACACTATCAGATGTAATTCTAATGACCATGTATAATCTCGGATCTCAAACATCGCGACTATTTTCTTTAAATAACTACCCGTCAAAAATTTAATTAAATTCAAATTGGAAAACCAATAACGTTAAACTTAAATCTTTGACTCGTTTTGACCCAAAAAGTACTTATCAGACGTATCAGAATCATAATAAAAGGAACAGAGTCACCTGGTATCATTCTGATGGAAACAGTGTCCAACTGCAGACATCAACACGCCGCTCACCAAACGCAGCGTTAACGCCATGTATCTCACGCCGTGCTCATGGCACGTCTCCTGGCCAGCTACAGCTGTCCATACACTGGACGCCAGTGTGCTCCGGCTTGAATGGGCGCCACGTCACGGCTCTATTTGTTACGTCGGATAGCAATTCGGTTTGAGGTAGCTACCTCAACGTTAGCCACGTTGAATTTTCACTATTAAGTACCGATGTATAGCGAGGCACTTCCAATCTTCTAGCACTATTTTCTTTGTCGCAATTGTATGTACCTAGCTAGTTTTTCACGAAACGGCTCCGATGACTTCAACATCTTTAATCTCGTAGGTCCATCCAAATTGTGATGTCGAAGGCGGCAACACTCATCCGTCTTCTGATGTTGGAGGAGGCATGATTATGTTCCAAATAGGAAAAGCGTTTAGAATTCATCACAGAGTTTCTTATAATCACAAGGTACAGTAACTGGGCACTAAGCGAAACGTAGGGCAGTACCGTGACAACGTCCTCACTCGGTGGCGACTCGAACTGAAGTGAGCTCCGCCGAGTGCAACTCCGACGCCACGAGTCTGCCTAAGCGCACCGGAAATCCGCTAGGTGGCGCACTTGTGTTCCATTTAGTGTCCATACTCATGACCGTTTCCGACATATATATGTATATATATAGGTAAAGAGACACTAAAAAAAAATTCATAAACATGATAAAACATAGATATATGATGAAAAATATATACATAACATATAATATTAGGTATGTTATAAGCAAACGAAATACAAGGTGTAGTTTTGATGTCGTGACATTTCTCGGGGCCATGTCACAGAGATCATATATAGGTTCAATGTAAGAGAAGGGCCAATAGTTAAAAATACGGCTGTAATAAATCGTTTCAAGTTCGACAATATTTCAGAATAAGCGACAGCAATGTTAATAAAATAAACAGAATAGGCCGCCATGTCATTGTGTGTACGTAACAAAAAATGGTCAAGAAAGCGTGAAGTCAGGGCGGGGTCACGCGAGTACATCCTTAAGAAAGAGAAACAATAATCTCGTATAACGTTAATGATTTTTAATTGATAATAACATTTTTAATAGTCCTCGAATGGACAGGTTAATTTTTAATTAGGTTTTTTTTTATACAGCAGGAGGGGAAATCCTCATGGAGACTCACCTCCCCACGAATAGGAAGGTGTGAGTACTGCCGGACTCTTACCGGCTAAAACCCTTCCTGCTGTTTTCAGAAACCCCTGATGTGGTCAAGGCCAGTGTTTTTCATGTCGGTAATTTCGTACAGTATTAATTTAATTTCTAAATTATGTATGCTTAATTTATTAATTGTTTTGTACAGACTTTTCATCGAGGCAATTTGTTTGTTTATATTTTTAACTCGGTTTTTTATATAAATGTATTGTTGTGCTGTATGTTACCTAATTGCTTCTACTATATTGAAACGACCACTCAATTACTATAACATTATATAAGGTGTTACTAAAATAGCTGCAAGAAATGTAAGGTTTTGTTGAAACATTTATTCCATAATATAATCACGAAAAAATAATTTAAAAAAAA